GTTTGATGAGTATCTGTTAATTCCTTTCCTCCCAAAATTTAACTCTTAAATGTTTGATGGCTTTTCCTTGGATGGTCAATCAAAATAGAATTTATGCTGCAAGTTTTTGTCAACTAACTGATTTGATTTAATTAAGTAGGTGTAGTCCTATTGGAGATGCTCTTTGTTCAAAGTTCAGCTTTATTTTGCTTAAATTTAATAAGGAAKAATGGACAACTGGAATAATAATGCTCCATTCAGTCATAACGTGACCTCGTTGTAGATTGCGTTCCAGGGCTGTACATTATGGCTTGCGTAGAAGAAAAGTCTAAAACCACAGTCTTCAAACTGAGTATTAAAAAAGCCACKGAGCTACTCTGGGGTTTTGCTTATTGAGAGTCTCCTAGTCCCAGTTGGGGTTAGGCGYTTAAGGAGGGTTGAGAAGGGTTTTCTTGTTAAGTTTATGATATCAGGAGTCCATCTCTACCAATTCTGCTTCAGTCATCCCCAAACTGAAAGCAGTGATTTACAACGTCAATAATATCTATGAAATATATTTCGAATATTGTCTATTGTCACTAATTTGTCTTGGTACTCTTCCTTGGAATACAGAAAGATGCAAATTTTCATCTGCCAATGAAAGAATTTCAGGCATCCTTATAAACATAGTTTTCATTGTCTTAAATGCCTTATAATTTTATTTCAATGGCAGCCTGTCTCCTACGGGAAATGTTTCAGTCCCCTAGGTCTTGAGCTTTCCCCAGGCCTTTTGTTTTCCACCAGACATCTCACAACRTGCCAAATCTCTGGAACATGCCTATGGTAGGTACACGGCATGTCCCTGCATCCAAGTAGTCCTGAAATCCTGGTGAGCAGTCGGAGCTGCTGTGGTGCTTTGTAGCCTACTGGGTGTGGTGGCTGTGCCCAAGAGCTTGAAAGCAGAGCAGATAAACCAGATAAGTAATTTGTGACTGACAGATGAGGACTCGGAATGCGGAGTGAAGTGATTTAGCACAGTGGAAACCCGTGGCAGAGTTTGGAAACAGATCTAGGGAATCTGCATGGGAGTAAAACACCTTAAGAGTAGGTCTTGTGCTTAATTGCTCACCTACCTATATGGTATGCCTGGAATAAACAAAGGTTGGACAGTGAGATGTTTTTAGATGTTTAGATGTTTTTTTTCCTTCAGGTCTGATAATATCCTGGAAAGAAATCTCTGTGTCCTGGCAGTGYGATCTGCCTTTTTGGAAGTTTTGCACAGAACTGATGTGTTAACAATTTGTGGAAGGAGACATTTTCTTAATAGTCAGGAATGAAGCTGTAGTCAGTTGGTGTCTTTAGGCCTAACGTTATTAATAGTAAGAATTCTGCTTTGGGAGTGATTGTGGTACTGGAACAGAATAGCTTTGTGCTCCATTAAATGTGTTCTGTTTGCAGTGCTTTGTTGGAAGTCAAGGCAGATAACTTGTGATGACAAGCTTGATATTTATTTCACTGGCCTTGAAAACTTTATGCAAGTAAAAATAATGGAATAAAAATTAAATTGCATTTTTTTATTATTATTTGAATGTTTCCTTGCAGCTTTGGAAACCCAAACACTGCAGCGTTGTGCTGGTGTAGGAGAACCAGAAAATGCAGTTGAGCAGTCTAGTTCATTGTCCRAGCTGAGTGAATTGCTAAATATACACAGCCTTTAAGAGGAAAAAGAAAACTGTCTTTTTAAAATCATTTAATATACAGTTGTATTAATACAGGTAAGGGAAGCTTTCAAATATTATGTTTTGAAAGTGTCAGAGGTACATTAAAAATAAAAAAGCCGGGACAATACGGAAGAGTTTTAAAACTACCTATTTTTAAAGCTATTTGTTTTCTAGTTTCTCATGATACTAGAAGCTACAGTTTTRGAATAAGAATAAGCAACGAGTAACTTACTGTGATCTCCTCTGGAGCTTGTGAATCTACCAGGCTTTACAGAAAAATTCCGATAAGCCTTTCGCACTTCCGAGTTTGCTCTGATGTGTCGTGATGCCTTAGGGATAGTTTTCCCTTATAGAATATGTAGATTTGTTGATATACTTTTTTTTTGGTACTAATTAAAAAAAACCTTTTGGTAGTTTTTCTTYGGGGGATCGGTTAACCTGATTTATGTATCCTATAACTTATAATATCAAATTTATGTTATTGTGTATTTGCTTTGTGTAATATAGGATTGCGGATTTTGTGCGGAATTAGGGGACACCAAAATTCAAACTGTATTGTTTAGAGTTTGGTAGTTTGATCCAATGTATTATCCTAAACCTATCTTTAGGTAGGTTTACTCGTTATGAGTTGCTAGTTACAAGCCATTATGGTTGAATCCTCTCATACATCATGTGTTTATATGACCAATTTTCATGTAACATAAGCTTTCAAATGGCAACTTTCCTTGCTTGATTTATGCCTAATGTTAACTTTTCTTGAGGAAAAAAAAAAAAAAAAAAAGAAAAAGAAAAGGGGCATATAYTACCAATCTGTGTGTAAGGTTACAAACCCGTTATAGATTTTGTAACAGCGTTACCAGCAGTAGCAGCTTGGTTAGCTGGCTTTGACATCGGTGGAGTGGGAGAAACCGGCTGCCCTCGCAGCAAATGCCGTTTCCAGTGCCTTGCTGCGCCTCCGTGGCTTGCTTTCTGAGCCACACGACTCCTGCCTTCAAGACTGCAAGCAGATCCTCCCTTTGGTTGCGACAAACACATTTTTACTCCTGTTGCTCTTGGGTTTGGCCAGGGTGCAGCAGGGAGAAGACTGTCCAGGCCTGTCAGCGCTGGCGGCCGCTTCTGCAGCTCGTGGCCAGGGCCCCTCCGAGCTAAACAGTGAAGGTGTCACAGGACTGCAGGGAATGGGAACTGTTTGCTCCAGGGAAATGCCTCACACTGAAGCAAAGCGCAGTATGGTAGAGCCGATCTTTCAGACTGAAAAATGGAAGGGGATAAAAGAAGGGGAGATGCCCTAAATAGTGTCTGGCTCTCTAGAATGTGAGTGGGGGAATGGACATAGCCCTGAAAAGTTTGAGTTACTCCAAGCTTTAATATACAAGGATGGAGCTCTGCGGAAACTGTAATGTGCCCAGGGACTTTTGGTTTCTTCTGTGCTTGATAGTGATGCTTTGAGCTCTTACCAGAGTTTTTCTTAATGCAGGTTACACACTACAAGCAATATCCACCTAATACAAGCAAAGTATATTCCTACTTTGAATGTCGTGAAAAGAAGACTGAAAACTCCAAATTAAGGAAAGTCAAATATGAGGAAACTGTTTTTTACGGTTTGCAGTACATTCTGAATAAATACTTAAAAGGTAACTCTCTCAAATTCCAGTAACACTATACCTATGAATTAATACTTCCATTTTTCTCAACCGTGCTGGAGTCATGTCTTTGAAACAAATCCCAGGGTGTTTGGTTACAGGGTAGGTGCTGATGTGCCTAAAATACTGTTTATGTGATTCTGAAGCTGAGAGACACCCACCCTCCTAGCACGGCCCTGACTTTTAAATTCAGACACTTCTCCACTGTGTGTCTTGATGTCAGTGGGTTAATAAAAATGAAGAGGTGGCYGTATCCAAACTTCAGTGGGCTAAATGGGAATATTGGAAATGGAGTGAGGCTGTTGACAGCATCACCTATCTGACCATTTGAGAGGAAATGTATTTCATACCTTGAACATCAACTGTAGCCTGTGCTTGCTCATTTATTTAGTGTATAAGCTAATAACTGTTTAATTAAGTCTCTCCTAAGTTTCTTTTGCTGCTCTGTTTAGATTACTTAATATAGCAGCTACAAACAGAAGTGTTTTCAGTGCTGGCAGTTTTGAGAGTATCATCTGAAAAATTCCTTGGTGCCATTTGGATTTACTTGCTTTTAGTTTTATGGGTAAATATCGGCCCTTCTGACCTGAATRTGGGTTGCCTTGTGTCAAGCATTAGAAAGAACATTTTAGTCATAATTTATGTGAGTTTACCTTGATCCAGACCCACAGATATCTGCCAATTCCTACCCAGTGTTGACATTAAAAGCAAATCAAAACACATGAAAATCTTCTTTAGCAATCTGAGTATTTTTTTCCCCCACTATTTCAAATGGCAATTGCTCCTGAAGTGCTAGCAATGCTTATTTGAATAATGTGGTTAGACTGACTGTTCTTATCACAGGAGTGCTTAATGAGAGCTTGGTTGCAAACCCTCTCCAGAGGGATCCTCCCTGGAGCAGTGCAGCTTAATACTTGTGCCAGGCAACTTATAACTTGTTGTGTGCTCCAGCTTGCACAATCACGACACTCCTCTGGTCTTAGTACTGAGACCAAAATTCTTTACAGGCTACTGACCATTTGTAAAATGGTAATGATTCCAAAATGGTAATGATTCCAAATTGTTCTGACCAACCTGCCAAATATATTGCCCTGGTGATTTTCCTAGTCTGCACGATAAATTAAATTAAAAATTGGATTAAGCATAGCTAATCTATTCTTCTTGATTTAACAACTTTTTGGGTCTGTCTCTTTTTATGTTGTTTATTTTATAATTATAACATAATAATTATAAAATAACATAATTACAAAATGAGTTATAAAATAATTTAATTATTATAAAATAATTGTAAAACAATGCAATAATAAACATAATATATCTTATATATTGTTAAGTTGGTGAGCTTTTCTGTTTCTGAAACTACAGGTAAAGTGGTGACCAAAGAGAAAATCAAGGAAGCCAAAGAAGTGTATAGGGAACATTTTCAAGATGATGTCTTCAATGAAAAGGGATGGAACTATATTCTGGAGGTAAGAATTAATCAAAATGCTAAGAAATCGTCACAAAGGATTTGTGAATCAACTATAGAATAAATATAGCATTTCTTTTTCTCCTAAACAAAGCTATTTTAACCATGATAGTAAGAGAKGGGTAAATTTAGCTTTTTAGGTTCAGCTGATAGGGAGTAACAGCTGTCAAAGAATAATCATGTAAATGTACGTCTATACAGAAAAATCTTTATCCTTTCAGATGCCAAATATGGCTYTGCAGGTAATAAAGTTTTATTGCTGCCTTCAGCCAGTTACAGTAAGTGGGATCTTCTTGGCAAGTCTCTATCTTATATAGTGCTTAGTAGTTGGTTATGTCATTTATATTATTAGTTGGTTATGTTATTTATATTGCTTTCTGTAACTAATCATAACCATTTTTCTTTTAAGGCAGAAAGCACTATAACTTCTTGCAAGTGTAAATAGTTTAAGAAAATACATGTTTTATTCCATGGTTTCCTGCATTTTTTTTTCAGCAATACTTAAGTTCAGCCTTAAGAAATACAAGGCCTGAGCACTTCTCATACACAAAACCTCCCAAATTTGTCTTTTCACATTATTCCTTCCTCTTTCCCTGTTGTTTAAAAAGATGTCATTCTTCAAGTAATTGCAAACATCTCTCTAAAAGCAGCAGATTCAGACTAATAACATTCATCAGAGCTGTTCTGATCTCTGCAGATGAATTMACTATAGTGTCCTTGTGGATTCTTGCAAATGCATATGTTTTGCATTTGAAAAAGCAGTTTTTACTTCCTCATATTCTCCTCTGGATATCCTGACCAACTGTAACTACAGATGTAAATTCAAACCAAATTCATATTTAAGCTGCATTATACATTGGAAACTGCTTTCATTAGTAATTAAACTAATCTTGATCCCTCTTTGGCTAAATTGAATTAACATCCTTTTTAATGCTGCATGCCTGTCCACCCTGAGTTTTAACGTTGTTTAACTAATCCCATTTGAATTCCTGCTTTTTGAATTTAGTCAAGGTAGAGTTCCCGAATACTTCTGTACACATAGTCTATTCCTTGATTTCTTTAGTCCCCGATCAGATTTTCCTTCTAAAATAATGCAGAAATATCAAAACAAGTATTATTTTTGCATGTTGATCTTAAATACYGGTGCCTCTCAAACCTTTGTTGGGCCCTTACACGCTCCTATAGGCACACTCCATGTCTGTATGTATCCACACACATACCACTGCCTGCTCCCTGACTCCACTAACCTCAGAATCATCTTTGCTCCAAACTACTCATCTCCACGTCTAACAGCCAAATCTTTGTGGTATGAAAGCCCTGTTTGCTTCAGCATATCACTACGAAACTTTCAAAATATAGCTCTGGAGAGACTCTTGTGATGGGCGCTGGAGAACATGGTGCTGCTTAAAAATCTGTCAAAGTTCTGTCAAAAGGTATAAGAAAAAATGTTTTAGGTATTTTTATCAGTGCTCGCGAAGATTGCTTAGAAGATTATGATTACTGGTTTATTGTTTGCAACTTAGTCKTTAGTCTTTCAGGAATTAAAGGCTGTATTTGATGAAAGAATGAAATTCAAGACTGGCTTTAGTGTTTAGTGAATAGTTGAGATAAAATAGTCTGTAAAATAGCTGTTAAGTGGATGCCACTCCAATAAAATAATGAAATATGCATCTAGTTTAAGCAGAAGAGGGATATTTCAAGAGGGTCAGGGTTTTGTTTTGCTTTCTTGAGACCTAAACAGCTGAACTTTTCTAGCTTATCCATGAGAAGGGCCTAAAGAAACTGAGCAGCAACTATTTCCTCTTCTGTGTATGGAGCATATGTGTGTTTATAGAGTAGTTAAGCCTTCCTGAATCAATTTTTACAAGGAATAAAACCGAAACCGTCATTCAGTTTGAAGAGGAGACTTCCTTTTTTAGCTTGCAGGGTTTGGTTATGTTTTTGATAAAGAGTTTTATAACAAATACTTGGGTGGGTGTGTAAGTAAGGCAAATTAATTTGGGAGCTGAAAGAAAGAAAGAAAGAAAAGGAAAGCATCATTCTCATGAAAACTGCAGCCTGACATATACACTGCAGTCAAATAAATGAAAAACAGATCCCAATCTTTCCTGTTATCTCTTTCTCTCATAGAAATATGATGGTCATCTTCCTATAGAAATAAAGGCTGTTCCCGAGGGCTCTGTCATTCCCAGAGGAAACGTTCTTTTCACAGTAGAAAACACAGATCCAGAATGCTACTGGCTCACAAATTGGATTGAGGTTAGTTTGGGAAAGTTTGCATGGTTTTTTTTTCTAAAAAATTTAGCTTAAGTTAAAGCATTAATGCGTTATTAGTGTAAGGGGAATTTCTGGCAGCTTTCATTTTCTGCTTTAAATAAGCATTGATTCTGTAAAGATTTTCTTTTTCCAATCCAACAAGTGTTTATAGTAATTTTAATGGGAAAAAAAAATCTCAACAGTACCTAAATCCACAAGAAGAGAAGGAGGAGGAAAAGAGGGAAGTGTTGTGTGTCTATGAAAGTGATGACTCCTGAGATAGTCACCACCCTATATCTAAAGTCCAATTACTTAAACCCTAAAGCAAAYTATTGCAGGTCTCAGTACCTACTCAGCAAGTGTTGAAAATAAATAGTCCTTTTTTGTGCCTGATTAAATGCCATGTGGGGATTTTGGAGTCTTAAGCAAATATGTACTTAATAAYGTGTTGTTTTTTGTTTTAGACTATTCTTGTTCAGTCATGGTATCCAATCACAGTGGCTACAAATTCTAGAGAGCAGAAAAAGATTTTGGCCAAATATTTGCTAGAGACTTCTGGCAGCTTAGAAGGACTGGAGTACAAACTGCATGACTTCGGCTACAGAGGAGTCTCTTCACAAGAGGTAAAACTGATTGTCTAACAGCTTGAGAAGCCTAATCCTTCTTAACTGTACCTTAGAGCATTGCAGCATGTTACTGTTAACCATTGTATCTAAATGCAGAAGTGTATCTAACTGTGAAATTATGGGTTTATGGAGCACTGTATCTGCACCCTTGTGTTAGGGAGAGGAGGGAGGATGCTGGAGAGGGGCACATGCACCTGAAGTCTATCTGAGTACTATATAGGCGCAGCTTTTCTCCTTATGGAAAGTCTTTCCTGTGGAGATGAATGAAGGGTATGTCAATGAMGTTGTAACTGAGGTAGAATCTTGCTCTTTAGAACTAGCATTAGGCAATATTTGATTTTTAGCCTCTGAAAATCTCAYCTGTTTCAGACTGCAGGAATAGGAGCCTCAGCTCACTTGGTGAACTTCAAAGGAACAGACACGGTAGCAGGAATTGCGTTAATTAAAAAGTACTATGGAACAAAAGATCCAGTTCCAGGATACTCTGTTCCAGCTGCTGAACACAGGTAAGATTTTTCAGCTAAAAAACTTCTAATAATTTGTAAAATTCCTTTTTTTTATCCATCTTTGTATCCAGAAATATCTCTTTCACTTCAAAGGAGGAGACAGGCATAAGCTGTTTCATTTATATCATACAGTATCAGTGATGATTTATCCAGCTGTATAGGGAGATCAATTTGCTGACTGCCCTTATGCCTTCTAGGGGCACAATAGTGACAAAGTTGTCTTAGCTGTAATGGGTGTTCTTTTCACGTTGTAATGAAATGTAGATGGTTCTATTTATAGTGGACTTGTAAGCTTACAGATAAAAATAGATATTGATAATTTACATTATGAAAAGTTGTGAAGAGATGCAAAGAACTCTTAAAGAATTTTAAGCTTAGCATCATAACTTGAAGAGTCAGAGGTTACAACGCTAGGCTCTGCCAGATCATGTTCCCTCTCCAGAAGAGGCAGTTGCTTTGAAGCCCTCTTGCATATGTACATTCCCTTTTCCCTGAATCCTGTACAAGGTCAGGAGTGAACAGAAATCTTTTAAATTTTGTTTACATGTCTACACACTGATATGAGAATAATATAAAGGAAGGGATGTGTTTTGTTTTTTTTTTTTCCTAGCAAGAGCAAAATCTAGTGTCTTGATCTAGAACACCAGTGTAGAGCAACTCTTGAGCTCCCACTTGATGAGTAGAAATAACAAGTAGAAATTTCTGCACTTCAGCTTAGCTTAATACTGTAGTTAAACCAAAAAGTGATTGACCAGGCAGCTATGAAATTAACTGCAATGAAAGAAAGAAAATACACAGAGCCTTTTCTTGTGCACAGCATATTGAAGAGGTGGCATGACAGCAAACAGSTTAAATGGTCCTAGTTAAAGTTCCCGTTCACAAATGGAGACCTCAGTCCATTTTTTAATTCTTCCAAAGCACAAGCGAGTCTCGTGCAAGTGATGCAGAATGTTCCAGGTCCTTGAGATGGTGGTGTGACCGTGGTGCTTGTCCCTGCCACACCGCTAGAGTTKTTCACACACCTGGTTGAGCCTCCTGGAGAACTTTCTTCTCTCTCCTCACTACCAAAAGCCACAGCTTCTCCAGAGAAGCTAATGATAGCATGTAATGGTATAATTTTAATGCACACTAGCTCTTACTGCACATCTGCACTTTGTACAAGCAAATGTTTTAGAGGTTTACATTAATAACTCGTGTGTAAGTTATATCAGCTGCTTTGAGGTATGCCGATGTCACCACTGATCACTTGGCATGCAGTGACTTACTGCTTCTCTTAGCAGCTCTGTTGTATGTGTGTGCTGCTACCYGTGTACCAGGGGTAACACTCTGTGTCCTTGTCAGGAGAAGAGCCCTTGTATGACTGGACAGCACCAGCAGAGAGAATTTAAATCCATATATCTATATAAATATATATATATATCGAGAGAGAGAGAGAGAGAAAAAAAAAAAAGGGGGAAGATGAATTGTGTTTTCTTTAAAATTTTTGTAACTTATGTGCTAGTTTTCTATTTCTCATTCTGAGGTCTGAAATTTGAAGTCTATAATGATATTGGCTTTGATTACCTTAAACTATTGCTAATAGGAGATACTGAATGTGTGATTTACCATTTGAATACTATTTCAATACATACTCTAATATGAATTTTTCAATTGACTTTACAGTACCATAACCGCTTGGGGTAAAGATCATGAAAAAGATGCTTTTGAACACATAGTGACACAGTTCTCTTCAGTGCCTGTATCTGTGGTTAGTGACAGCTACGACATTTACAACGCCTGTGAAAAAATATGGGGTGATGACTTAAGGCAGATAATTGAAGCCCGAAGTCCAGAGGCGCCACTTATTATTAGGCCAGATTCTGGGAATCCTCTTGACACTGTTTTAAAGGTAATGTTTCCTTCAAGTCATTTGCATGCAAGGTTYGGAATGGCAGTTGTTTTCATCATTTTCTAATGATTGATTAACAAATATAGGAAACGTGCATAACATATAGTTTGTGTTGAACGTTCTAGACCTCTGTAAAATCTAAACATTTATGACATTAAATATAGGTATGGAAACTGTCTTTTTTAGTCTAGATAGTCTAGATAGACTGGCTTTTTTCAACAAACCAGTTCTTGCATGCCCTTCCTGAAACTTTTGCAGTAATGATCAGTTCTGCTGTCTAATGAGGTTGGAATGATTCTACGGAATCTATATTCTATGGCTCTCCTCATATAACAGGAAAWAACTCAAGTATTGATAAATACCAGGCAAATAAAGCTTCTTACTGCTAAAGTTAGATATCTAAAGTCTTGTAATAACRTATGTTACTGTTTTATATTGCAAATACAAATTGAGCTCTTCTATATTTTTAAGACTTGCATTTAGGTYAGTGGCATGTGACCTTAAAGCTGAGAAACACTTCTTGCCTTGCAGCTTTTGAGGTTTTTTTTTTTAATTGTGAAGACTGATGATAACTTTGAATTAGAATAGCCCTCAGCACTGTTTTAATAAGAAAGCAGAGGAGATTGTGTTGGCTATTAGATTTATACAACTTCAACTTACTTATAACCTTTTTCTTTTCCTTTGAGAGAAGTGACATAGAGCCAATAGAAACTTTGAATGTTCTTTTTCTCAGAGCTGATTTTAAAATGCCCTGCCTGAAGAATTTTATTTCAATTATTACTGGTTAACAAAATGCCCTCAAAAATGAAAGGCCAATGGGCCTTTCATTTATCTGCCATTCGTTATCTGCCATGTTAATAGATTTTAGGAACTAAAGAGAGGCATGGCTGTGATTAGCCATTGTGCACAAGTTAGTGAGTGCCATATGGACTCTGCTTTATCTAACGGCTCCCAGCACAATGACTGGCATACTTTTTGTTTGTGTGTTTGTGTGGATATATTTAGAGCAGGGTATGTGGGTATATTTATGGGTTTGCTTTTTTAGGCACATGACTCAAATGTGGAAATTGGTTTTCTTTGAGAGATTGTGGATTTTGAGTGGGGAAGAATGGGGTTTTATTTGGCTTGGGTTTTTGAACGTCTCCCTTCTGTTCTCAATAGGTCTTGGAGATCTTAGGGAAGAAGTTTCCCATTACAGAGAACTCAAAAGGCTACAAGCTGCTGCCACCATATCTCCGAGTTATTCAAGGAGATGGTGTGGATATCAACACATTGCAAGAGGTAGGGGATCATGCTCATGTGTCGCAGGGAAGCTGGCAATGTTGCAATTTAATCTGGAATCTATCATGGCTAGTCGGTTGCTGCGGCTTCTCTACCCATCCCACCCTGCCCTTCATTCCAGACTCTGGTATCCTAATGAGTAAAACAAGTTCATTAGAACTCCAAAGAGCATTATTAAGATGCATCAATCACTAAAAAGCATTTCCTAATCTCACTTTTGTAATGCTTATCCTCCCACTGTCTCTCCTTTTGTTTACTTTCATCCTTCTTGCCAAGCCTAATTCAGATCCAGATCTAGCAGTGCCTGGTCTTTCCATTGATATCCGAAGTCAATTGCATGATTGCTGTGCTATAGCAATAGTAGTAATTAACGTGTTTGGCTCATTAGTAGCTTCTGAAGTGTGCTCCCAATCAGATTTTGAGGGTGTGGTTTTTGAAGATTTTTCAAAACAAGGCTGAGGAGCCCCTTGATTTGGCAGCTAAGGGAACAGGCCTTGTTGCAAACCCAGAAAGTGTGAATAACAGACTAACCCACCRCTGGAGTCAAATTGGTCCATCTTGGAGCTTGAATCTGGTGAATACACATAACTTTTACTAATGATGCTAAAAGCACGATTTTGGCGAGACAAAAATTAATTATTTAGCAGCTACTGCATGCTGGAAGCTAATGAGAAATTCAGCACAGCTGGCTAGAGGAAGCTACTAGTTAATATGATCCAATCCAAATGGCACAGGCTGCAGTGACTAGATACAATGAGGGTATGCAAAGGAAGACTTAACTTCATCATTTTTTTTCCTGAATTTTTTCATCATTTGCTATAGGAGAGTAGTATTACCAGTTCAAAGAACAGAAATAAGTTGGATAGATTTAAGATAAATTTTACTGTATTTTATAGATGCTTGTCTTAGGTTTTGGGGTACGTTTTTAGATTCTTTTTAACAAAGCTGAATTTTGCACTTCTCAGATTTAGGAGTAAATACAGAYACACCAAGCTAATTTTCTAGTTATTATGAAACAATCTGCATACTTAACATGAGCACATAATGTGAACCTAAACCACAGTATTCTGGAGGTTCTCATTACTCAAATCTTTAATAAGCAGTTAATACTGAGATTGTCCCCGATACACCAACCATAATGCAATCCTGCACTACAGCCTTGCTCCTTCTCCAATGGTCCTGAAAGCAAATTTGATTTTCCTGTGACTCTTTTTGAGACTCTACAACTGTGCTAATGTGTTTAACAGAGCACAGGCATGACAGGTGAATAGCTGGAAGGAAAATCTTATCACTAGACACCATGGGAAGAAAACTTGCTTCGTTTTTAAAAGCTATTTACTCTCAATGACTTTTAAACAGAATTTAGTCATGAATTGATGCCTGTATTAGGCAAAACATGTCCCCGTTGAGATTTTCATGAGTCTGTGACAGGAAACAAATTGGACTGCTAATACTTTCTTGTGAGGAATTTGGGGATTGCCATCTCCAACTTGTAGTTGGCAGAATTTAAGTAGGTAGGCTCACACAGCATTGACTGTAGTAAGAATGTTTAAGCTTAAATTTAAGCTTTTACACTGCAGGAAAGTCACTASTCTATGTTCTAGATCGAGTAGGGAAATAATTCCATCAGCTGAAAGAACAGAATGTGGATGGAAGGAGTAATTCTTTGCTCAGATGATCCTCCTGATAACAGCTTGCCTGAGGAAAATACGTAATTAGTTATGAAAGCAAATCTACCTGTAATACTTAGTAGAAAATTGCTGAGCATCTTGTTCCACAAGACTCACGGAGTGACCTTCCTATCATCTTCTCCCAATTCCCTAATCTTGCTGCACATTTCATGTCAGCTTTGGTCACTAAACCCCCTAATTTAACCACCAATGTCGCAGGAAGCTAATTCAACCAAAAGTGGTCAATTTTTTTATTGTTCAATGACTGATTTGGCCCAGGGAAGGGTCCAGTAATCATCAGCACCATACAGGAGAGAAAACACTGTTGGTTGGACTTGGGGGATGCAGGAAGGGAAGAAAGAGACACCGCTCATTTGGCAGGAGCAAATCATGTTTGAGCAGAAGACCATGGGCTTGCAGCCTGATCTTTACTTTCACATAACATTTAATGAAGCCCTTTCTACTCTCAGGTCAGCGTAGTCAAACGTCTCATGCAGCCTTTTAGAGGACTGTTCAACAAGATGCTATTTAAAAAAAAATCCTGAAGTAAAACTCTTCCTTTTCAAAAAGGAGTTGAACAAAAATCATGGCCTTTTTTTTACCCTCCCCACACTGTTAAAGCCTATGCAAGTGGTTGTTTTAATTCCTATATCAGTCTTGGACTTCAGACGTGATCTGTTGTTATAGATCAGATCTGTGGTAATGGCTGTGGTAGATGAGCGGAATGAGTAATGACTGAGCAGTCTCGTTTAACTATCCAAACTAGCTGAAACAAAAATATAGAAAACAGCTCGGAGTATAAACTGGATTTTAAAATTCTTTGTTTTAATAGGGGATGCTGGTAGAACAGGTAAGGAACCTTTTCTGACTTTCTTCTGGCATTTTCACTTTTTAAAAATCATTCCAATCTGCTAACTCCACAATATACTACACTTCAAAGGATATTCTTTGAACATTCAATTTCCAGCTGGCTTTAAATTATTTATCCAGAGAAAATCCTCTAGTCTGGAGTCACARCTGACAGTCATGCCCAGAATGGTCAGAGGAAGGTGGTCAACACCCATACTCTTTGTATAAGTTTGAAAGTGTGATACTATAAATTCTTATGTATGGTTTTCCTTTGAGAGAACTTCAGTTGCATTTGGGATCTTTCTCTTTCCTTCCTCCCCATTGCTATTTGCCACCTCTTCTCCATACTTGCAGAACATGTTGTCTGGCCTCTGTTGGTACCTTCAGAGTTTCATGTTTCAGCTCCAGTCTCAATATTCCTTCCCCTCCAACCCGTTATCAGCCAAAAATCAGTTGACTAAGGAAGATTCCACGGGAAGGAGATGCCAGTAGAAGCTTAAATCCCCACACAGGTGAAGTGTGTCATGTATATGGCAAGAGATGGGCCAGCTGTGTGTAAGTGAGAGCAGGAACTCTGGCTGAACGGAGTTCACGTCGCTTTGGATGCAGACACGGGGGCTGAGCAGCCCAGCTGCTCTGTGCTCGCACTGGCATCTGTTAACCTACAAATATGAGTGGACCTGAAGTCTAAGCTTTAGTGAGATGTTGTTTTTGCCATTTCTGTTTTTGCTGCATCTCCCAGATGCRCTCGGGCAAGTTCTGCTTGTGAGCTTTTGTGCAGTTTGGGGAGGAGGGCAACATCAGACCTGATCTGTAAGCACAGAGGCAGGACGTGCAGGCTCAGGCCTAGCTAGCAGTTTGTGTGGCTTTGGGATGGATCGGTGTCTGGACAGAACTTTCTCAGAATTTAGGCAGTTTACCTCTTTTTGGTTTCTCTACAGAAAGTGTAAGTAAGCACACTCCTTACATAGGCCCAGTTGAGGCTGATTTCTTACTGTTCTTTTGGGCCTTAAACTTGAGAGAGGARTCCCTTTAACAAATCCCTTAACGAATCCCTTTTCTTACCCTTCCTTTGTCATCTACAGTTATTTCAGATGGTTTAAGGGAGAATCTCACTCACTTATTTGCCCTAAATCTTTTATCATCTCTGGGTGCCCCTTTAAAACTAGTTCCAGGAGAACCTACTGACCTGAAAATACAAATTCCTTCTGTGCAGAGTCAATATCTCGGGGGATGTGATATCTGCTGCTAAAATTCACAGCATTTTCATGTATTTATTTGTTCAAAAYACAGAGTCTTCCAAAGGGTCTCTTAAGTGAAAACCATGGCAGAGAGGAGAYGGGTTGAGAGGTCTTCTGCTTGGGTTGGTGAGGCCCAGTGACCTGGCACCATGAGAACGAGGGCAGCTTATCAGGGAGATGTCTCCCTGGGAGATGTCTCTGCTAAAAACCTTGTGGGAAAATGTTGACAGGCTGTGGCTCTTCAGGGCACCTTTTCTGTGGGCTGCACCCTGCCAGGCATCCAGAYTTTAACAGTATCTTTAGGGAGATCTACATGTGACTCGATAGATAAGCAAAATACTAGTAGGCATTTTTGTCTCATCATCTACCAGTTTGCCACTATCTGTGTTTGTGGTTGAATTGCCTCTGTTTTTCTTAGGAGTCTTTGCCTCAGCCAACCCTTAGGGAAATGGCTTGACCTCAGTAGCTGCTAAAACAGTCCTGCTCAGTGTTCCCTGGCATTCCCCTTTTGTACAGAGAGGTGGCAAGTGCACAAAAGATTGGCCAGATTTTTGATGCTGTTGATTTCTGAAACTCCACACAGTTCTTCTTGGATTATCTGAGTCCATTCTGTTCCTCAGCTTCATTCTCTTGGATGATGTGGGATTTTTCCACCCACTCTAATGCTACTCTCTCTTGTTAGTGCAATATTTATAGATATAAATCCAAACACTCTCCTGTTGACCATCTTTTCAGGCCGTAGTGGGAGTAACGGGAAACAAACGGTGATCRTTGATGAGTATGATTAAACTTGCATCCATGACTCCAGGCTAGAGGATGACACGTGTTTCTGTGACTAGAGTTAGCTAGAGAGCAGCTGGTACAGTGAGTAATAAACTGCCTGCTGATAGATGTGCAGTTCATACCTGTCTGCATATCATACCCATGCAGATCGGTATCCAGATGTGTTGAGCAATATATGTTGATAGGTATGAAGTTCACAGTGAGCTGTACCTGCCTAGGAAGGTGGCAAAAYAAACCCTTCAAGTACTTATTGGTTGGCATATTTTATTGATGGGAATCAAATGAGAAAATATGTACCTGTATTTCCCATCCTATGCATTTTGAATGCAACTATTTCTAACTTTAGGAGAACTTCTCTGTTGCTGTCATGGGTCAAGTGGGCAGGTCTCTTTCTGGAGTGGCTCTGCCAGGTGTTTGCTCTCTGCCAGGATGTACGTTATATTTTGAGGCCTGCCCATAATTCTGAGAAGTCAGAAAGCCCAGAAGTGCTCCCACCAAGTCAGCTACTTTCTTCAGTGCTCTCCTTGTCTGGGCATTACATTACTTAGCTACCCTAGTTCGGGAAGGAGAAAATTATCTTTATTGCATATGCCAGCATGGTAACAGCACTACCATGTGATATCATAAATAGCACAAGCTGGAATAACAATTTAAAAAGTAAACAGCATGCCAAATATTGTCAAAATTGTTACATACSTCTCCTGGAAACTGAATGTTAGTTGGTTTAATTGTCTGTAAAAACATCTTTTTTAAGTAGTGTAATTATTTKTTTTTAAATGACATGGTTTAAAGAAAGAGTCTATCATCTTTTTCTTTTCTTTATTAGATTGTGGAGGGAATGAAGAAGAACAAATGGAGTATTGAGAATATTGCCTTTGGATCTGGTGGAGCTTTGCTGCAGAAACTAACTAGAGATCTCTTGAACTGTTCCTTCAAATGTAGTTATGTGGTGACCAACGGTCTTGGGGTACGTCTCCTCCTGCTCCTACCACCATGTTCTCCACAGAAGGCTCCCTACCTGAAAAGCTGTTTTACGTTTCCTGTTACCCTACCACCATCTGCATAACGCACACCAGCCCCACCAAGCTCGTTCCTTTTATAAGACATTCTTCTGATTTTTAGGTAAATGTCTTCAAGGATCCCGTAGCCGATCCAAACAAAAGGTCAAAGAAAGGGCGACTGTCTTTGCACAGGACACCGGCTGGAGATTATGTAACGCTTGAAGAAGGCAAGGGAGATCTTGAGGAGTACGGACAGGTAGGGGTTTCCAACACTTACCAAATCACTTTCCATGCAAAACTAGCCGGAGAAGAAGCAGGTTATAACAATTTTAGGATTTTGTTTTAGTTGTTTTCATATTTAGCTTTGTCTTAGTATTTCAGAAGCGTCCTCAGCGCTAAATTCAGTAGAAGTAGCTCTTCAAGTTTTACGATTAGAAGTCTGCTCCTTTTTTTCCTCCAAGCTAATATCTCATAATGTAGCGTAGTATCTGCTAGCTGAGTAGTTTTTATGGGCTATACCACTCAATTTCTGAGTAGTATCTGATTTTGGGTGGTGGCAGAGGAGGTAGAGGGGTACACAGACAGACTTAACTAAAGGTTGTTCCTGCTTCACTGGGGAGTTTTGTAAACAGTTCCCTCAGGTAGGCATATTCTGTACATGGAATAGTTTGCCAGTGTTCAAAAGATGTAAATTACACCAGGAAATCAATTTCCCTATTAATCTCTGGCATAGCAAACTTGAATTTCAGTAAAACGGGCACAAACTTTACCCCGATCTCAGGATTTCATTTGCTGTCTCAGCAAGCAAGCAACAAAACGTTGCATGTTGAGTGTCTTTCTGTATTAAGAGCCTTTAAAACCTTTGSGGGTGGTTGTTATTAGGTCTGTGGTATCCAGTGCATGTATTATCTACATATATAGCTCAGTATATGGCTCAGTTTGCTTTCTCGCTTTAATATCTGAGAGCTTCCAGTTTTGCACTTACTACTGCATTTTTAGAGCGCTCCTTCTTCCATACCCCTCAACCTGTTGTCCTTAATATGCCTTTGTGTACCAGAAAAGTTGAGGAAAAACTTCAAGTGTGTAAAGGCAGAAGTGCAGTTTAAGAACTTGAATATTTTCAAAGTAACATATATGCCCAGGCATATATCTGTATGTTTATGATATACGCCTGTAAATTTTATGCATGGGCAGTAAATGGTGGAAAATCTCTCAAAACAACGCAAGATCTCTCTCTCTCACACACACACACACACACACACACACACACACGAGTGTAACTTTTGCAAAGATTTTCTTTTAAGTTATTTCATCTGTCAAAATATGAAGACAATTTTCTATCCTARGATATTAGAGAGGGCCATATTTGTGGTTTTGGTCCCCCTGGGACCAGAAGGGCAGATGGAAGGGGCACTTCTGTGGACCTCCTTTCCTGAACCACAGGTCCTGCAGACACCAAGCAAGCACAGCTTGATGTCTAGTCCTGGTTTCAGCTGCTCTGTCCAGTGCTGCTGTGCTCTGCTCTTTCAGCGTGCTGTTTGGGAGCCCTCTTTAGTGCTCTGTTTTACTGAATACATGTGCAAAGGAGATTGCAGAGAGAGCTTTTTAATGGCTGTTGTGGAGGAAATAGAGATTTTGTTGGAGGCTCTGTAATTTAACTGCATTTAAAATCGGTTCAATTGAGCTTCCTTTCTTACCAATTGCTCTAGCAGGGTATATTTAATTTATAGGTCTTTGCCTTTCACTYTGGGCATTTCACTTCGGGGACTATTTGGGATGAAATTTCTATCCATGTACAGGATGGCTTAAATGCTTTTCTGTCTAACTCTTAGCTAAAGGTACAGGTTGAAACTGAAAAGGCCAAGTGGCTCAGTAGCCTGAGGCCCTGTCCTCGACACATTTGCTTTGGGGGTTTGCTTTGAAGTTTGTGTGACCTGTATTTGTTCATTTTTTCTCATCTCCCTGAGAGAGGTTTCGTCCTTGCTAAACCAGTGGTGTTTCTTGCAGGATCTCCTCCATACAGTGTTTAAGAACGGGAAGGTAACGAAGTCGTATTCATTTGATGAAGTAAGACAAAACGCCAGGCTGAAGAACAGTGAACTTGAAACGGCGTCTCACTAAGTTTCATTCCATGTCTGTGTATGTGTGTGTAACAAGTATGTACTGCATAATGGGTTTATTGTACAGATTTGTGTGTTTGTGTTTTATGACATTGTAGCCAAATTATTTGTTGGTTTATGGACATACTGCCCTATCTTTTTGCCAGTCTTTAGAGAAGCTGAAATCAGGAAATGGTACTTACAGTGTAAAACATATTTAATGCTAAAGTGTGCTTTTTAGGGCCATTTGCCAGTAGTGATTCAATCTGGTATTGATCTTTTCACAAATGAGACGGAGCTGAGAAACTTTTTTATATATAACAGAATATCACAAAATGGATTTACATAAAATTATCATGATTGCTTTATGTTTATATTTAACTTGTATTTTTGTACAAACAAGATTGTGTAAAATATATTTAAAGTTTCAATAATTAAGTCTTTCCAACTTTTCATGATTTTTATGAGCACAGACTTTCAAGAAAATATTTGGTGTGGGGGGGAATCCATTGCCTTTTGTCCATCAATCAGCAAATAAAACATGGCCTTAAAGTTTGTTGTGACATTGTACCATTTGAAGAAAGAAATCAGGACTCGTATCTCCTTTAGGATCCCATAGACTTGCTGACCTCACCGTATCTTGTAGTTGTCTGTGTTAGTAAATCTACATTCAAGCAAGTTACTGTTCTTACTAGCAGATTTAGGTACTACAGACCTTACTGGCACAGTAAGTGTGTAAATGGAATGCCAAATTTGAAAGGATTCTCTACTGCAACTTAACTTGCCAAGTCTATTCTACTTGGCATATGCACCTCAATATTTTAAGAGTAAAGTTTTTAAGAGATCTCCTCTTCCACTATAGAATATATGTGTAAAATACTGAAATATGGAAGCGGTGTATTTTAAAGTAATTACACTTCTGGGTTTATTTTTCATATACTGTAAGTGACATGACTTTAAAGCAAAATACTGGACTGGGTAGTGCACTTTTTTACTTTTTTGTATTTTTTTCATTGATTTGCCTTTTGTCAGACTGGATGTTAAATTGTAAAAAATGTTTAACTATTTTTGTTAACAACTTTAATAAAACCTTATGCTAGCCAAACTCCTACACGAATGGCAGACCTGCTTCCCCTTCTCCCCCCATTTACTGGGGGTGAGGAGGGGCTTTTTTTTGGTGCAGAGGATAGCTGTAAAAGAATATGTATGAGAGATGCTTTTGAGCTGTCTGCACTTGATTGTATTTGCTCTCTGCAAAGTAGAATTTCTCGAATTGGAGCAATTTCTAGAATTGCTCGATTAGAATATCTGCTGGAAAACAAAACTGTCAAGGAATTTATTGGAGAAGCTCTGTAGTAATAGGCTCTGAGAAGTTTGTTAGTACTGTAGGATGGCTCTTACTACAAAAGGAATATACCTCCCTTAACAAAAATCAGCAGTAAAATCAAATGGCTTCTGTATTATGTCGATGATCAACTGTCAGTCTTTGACTTACTGTACTGATGTTGCAATTAACAATTGCCAATTAGCAAATGATTTTACAGGACAAATGTGAGGGGTCTTTTAGAATCATTTAAGCCTACACAACTATATAAAATGTGCTTTTAAAGGAAGATTGAAAAGCCATACTTCATTGTTCTTATTCTCTCACCAAAAAGGGCCACATCAAAGCACTCATAGTATTTCCAGGGTATGTGGTTAAGACACTTATGCCCAGTCTCAATGGTTCTTGTTAATAAAAAAAAAAAAAAAAAAAAATTGTTTTCCACTCTTAGTGTATGTGATTATAGATTTAAGTGATGTATTGTTTCAAAAATAGTGTTTTAGTAACCTAAATACTGACCTTTCACACTGAAGAACTGCCTTCCCTTTGCTGTAAATGATATTGTTCCTATTTGGCTAGGAAAGGCCAAATAAATCCAGACATAGGATCAGTAGCTGGTAAATAGTACAGAGCCTGTTTCACTCCTCCACATGTGTACTAGGGAATTTTATGATGTATGGTTTAAAGAAAATAAAAGTAAATGCTGCTTTCATTCTGTACCAATAAAAATTTTGATAACTATTGACTACCCATAATTGATATTTTTGTACTTGAGAACTAGGGATATGCTGTGGAAGCACTGTTTCCTTGTGTACCATGCAATACATGAGTAAGTGTTCAGTGTTGTCTAGAATTTAGCCCATGAGTTGGAGACTTAAAGGAAATTCTCTTCCCGTGCATGTCACCTTCAGCAAGTAGTCACGTCACCCATTAGAATAAATGTTAGTGTSTTTTTTAAAAAAGAAAAAAAAAACACCTGGTGCTATTCAGATCTGAATACATGTCTTTCTGTTTGGCAGTTTGACATTCTAGGCATCAACAAGCTGATAGAAATTATTGCAGTGCTTGAACCATATAATATCCTGACTCTTCCACGTGAAAGCAAACAGCATGTCTCAGTTTGCTTTAAACTCCTAGATTTGTAGCCATTGATGTTTTAATTATCCCCATTTCATAATATAACAGAGTATTTGTATTTAAAAATAGGAATTGGGAGTTTTGTGTTAATACCCTTATTTGTAACTAGTATTTAGCATAAGAAATGGATTTTGTAAGACTCTTTTTTTTTTTTTCCTGAGATGCATGATTATGAAAAGATGCTTTTTATGGTACCTGGAAAGATCAGAGAGAATAGAAAAGTACTAGCTCTTTGGTTTGCCAAAAAAAAAAAAAAATCAAAACCAAGTTTAAACAGTTTTTCCTATGAGTTTTTACATTCCTTTCCAACCTGTTTAGTGAAGAGAAAATATTCCTCCCTTAAATCCTCTGTTAAAGTAATTTCATGTACTTGGCATCGAAAACGAGTATGTAAAACACATGGAAATAAAGTTTAGTTCTGGCAGTGCAAATAGAGGCCATCTGAGTGTGTGTTGAAGTCGGGGTGTTGGGCAGCAGCTGGGGCTCGGGTGCTGCCCGTGGCCGGGGGGCCGGAGCACCTCAGCACCTCAGGGAGCCCCTTCCTCAGGGAGCCCCTTCCTCAGATAGCTCCTTCCTCAGGGAGCCCCTTCCTCAGGGAGCCCCTTCCTCGCCGCTGGAGAAGAGGACGCAGGAGCCTCTGCTGCTTTTGACAGGCTACGAACGCATCTACACACCTACATCCACTTAGAAATGGAGCACTTCCACTTGAGCTTGACATAGAGCCACCGAATGAAACCCAAGGACTATTCTTTTATTTCTCACATTCTACTCATTTCACRTATTACTCATTTATTTAGATTCGACCTGCTCTAAAGTTGATAAAAGTGCTTGCTTGAAAGCAACCTAATTAAAGATGAGGTAGCCTTCAGGTCACTTCAGTCCCAGTAGTTTCAGCTCCTTAATGGAACAGATTCTACTGTGTCACTCTGGACGGGTTTTTTATWAGTGGAAGAAAATATGCTTTTAATTCCTGCTTATCCTCAAATTTCAGGATGCTGCTTACAAACACAAGCACCTAGTGCAAAGATGGGCATGTGCAGCTGTAGGTGGCTGCTCCATTCATCTCRTGCTATAATGTCTGAAGGGTTTCCATAGCCTACACTAACAGACATTAAAATTTGGATTTAAAGCCTSCTTTATGTTTATCTTTACAAAGAGCAAACGTCGCCCAAGTGGTTGAGGCYGTTTCCTCCTCCTTTCCAAGCTCATAAAGGCATCCAGCTACAAATCTCCAGGGTTTTCTCACTATCACCAGCCCTTTGAAAACCTCTTTTATCACAGTTACCTAAAGATCTCAGATATGTTTATTTATCATAGCTCACAGTCAGGGAAGAAAAGCCCTTAGCAAAAGAGCATTGCCAAAGAGTTTTTTGCTGTGGCACAATATTTTGTTGAAAGATACCCAATTTTTGCTGTGAGACAATCGAGAGCAGCTCATCAGAAAGGAGTCGGTAGGATTTTCCTCAAGTCATATTTTGTTTGCTGTAATTCCCGTAGTGATCTTTATCTGAATGCTTGTAACATTTTTTGGAATAGAAATTTTAGAATTTAAAGTTTACGGGGAAGTTTCCTGGAATCAGAAATGTTGATGTCTCYTTTTATCTGAAGCAGAGAGGTCTCTTAAGGAGACATCAGTGATTGGGCTGCTGGCAATATTATTTTTCACCTTCTGCAACTCTCCTGAGTAGAAGGACAAGTTTATTTCAAGTCTATGTTGGAGACAAAGATCAGAAAATTTAGATTGCATGTAAATCCATTAAGATTGCCTCTAGATCATTAGGTATATTAGATAAATTACAATGCTRTAATATATTGCTATCTGTAACTACTTGTGTTATGTCTCATTGATAGTATTGGTGCATAGGATTTGAAGATGTTGTTCATGAACAACTTAGTTGTTGTGCTTCTGTCAAGTAAATATTACATTGCATATAGCAAGATAATTGTAATTTATTGAAAATTACTTCAACATTTTCCATAGCTGCAGCATCGGAGAAACTAAGCTGGGAAGGAAGCTCAGGGGTGGAAGTTTTCACTTCATAGTCACTGGTTTAGGTTATTAATGTAGCTATTGAAAGCTTTCAGTTTGAAAAATGGCCTGTTTTGTCATGCCTGAGTATTCATGGAACTGAAAGATTAATAAAAATGGTGCATTTTCATGTTGGGTGAACCACGTGGACTCGGAAGCTTATGTATGTTCCAACATTTATCTTCTAAGGAAAAGTGAACAACCTCAGTATCAAACTTCCTTCCCTTTCCCCACAAAAGGGGAAAGAAAAGCATTAAGTTCTCAGAGCTTTTCCTCTGCTTTGTGTTTCTAAAATGAAAAGTTAGTGTATTCTTCCTCTTGGATAGGTAATTTCCCATATTCTGAGAGTTGCTACSTTAGCTTCGGTGTAAGGAATTGCTGCTCATTGTGGGGTGTCTCGGAGGAGTGACTTATCCTGGCAGTTTTAGAGGATAATCTGGGACTAAAAGGCTTAGGGTTGCGTTGAGCCTGTAAGTCACACAAAGGTCAGAGTTGCAGCTGATGGTCCCTCGCCAAGGCCCATGACTGTGTCCCGGCTCCAGGTCTCCTGCAAGGTGCTGTGAGCACTGAGGCTGCTCACCCAACGCAGGGGTGCTGCAGTGTCCCAGTGACGAGGCAGRGGCTCTTCATGCACCCCACACTAACCTTAATCCAGTTTTCAAGGCTGCAGGGACCTGTTAAACCACATGGTAGTGACAAACTTCATTAAAACTACCATTCTTCCTGTACACGGTGTGTTTTTGCAGTCTCACCTCCAGCACTGCTGCTTGAAGCCCATCGCCTGCTTTTATTGCAGCTATAAATCCCTGCAAGATAAAGAGTAAGATCTCACCTCTGTGCAAGGTTTTGCAATCGTTGCACCTTCAGACTAAAGCAAATAAATTAACCCAGTAAAACCGAAAGTTAGACTTTTCCCTTCTGAGTTGTGCTCATGGAAATGTTAATGGACACGTAAGTCTGGCAAAACAAGAATATATAAAATTATATTAACTTCTTTACATTGAAACAAAATTGCATTTACAGCCTGTCTAGCAGTTAATAACCCTGAGCTGAATGCTCGAACGTTTTCAGCTGGTTGCTGGGGATGCTTTTTGACTCAGCGGTCTCACCCAGACACCGCACCCTGCGCACACAGATCTAATCCCATTAAAGAGGCTGCCCGGGCACAGGCGAGAGCAAGACGACGTGCAGCCACACACTGAATTACACAGGGAGAGCGACGCGAAACCTGCGTCCTCTGAGAAAGTGCCACCCTTCTGCTTGGTGTTATACATTAAATACATACATCCTCCTTGAATCCAATTGGAAAAATGGCATTTTTTGTTGAGTTTTAGGCAGCTCAGACTGAGCTCCCGTTCTGCCTAGCGCTGGGAAGCCAGCTCTGGGGCTGTTGTGTAATAAGAAAGTGAGTGCATGTTCAATTGCTGACCTATCTTTCGCAGCCCAGGCTGAGTTATGCAAGACCTGGGGTTTCAATAGTTTCTCCCATGCTACATGTTCCTACCCAAAGGCACTCTGAGACAAACCCCATATAGTTATTGAACTCGTGGTGTGCACTAAACCGGCAGGGTAACAGGGTGTGTCTGTACAGGTTGTGAAATGATTGTCAATAATTTTCTTTCTCTTGTGCAAGTCTGTCAGCTAGACACAAGTGCTGTCACCGAGATGACTGCTATAATAGAGACACATGTTGTGTTTCGGCCGCTGATGGTTCTTTTCCAACTGACTGACTTTGGCCACCAGTCTCCTAAACACTGAGCTTGCAAAGTGGCTTTCTCACCAAGCAATCGCATGTAATTCCCCTAAAATAGTTTTTTTTATATATAAATCTTTACATCAAAATGAGAAAGACTGATGCAAGGTATTCTGATGCCTTGCTATCTGATCCTGTATGTGTTATAGATCGTCATGTTTCATGCTGACGTATCTATAGGGAATTCCATGTGTTCCAGTCCTCAGGCAACTAAACCAACATGTGCAGAGCCAGCAAAACTCAGAAGCCAAGCGCCTGCCAAAGCTCGGGACCTGCAGTGAAACATGCAGTGGTAGCTTCTCCTTCATCACCACAACTATCCATGGGCCTTCCTTCCCTGAATTTGTGCAGTGTCCKTTAGCCCATGTAAAGTTTTAGCATCCAAAACAAACCGTGGCAGCAATGCAGCTTAATTGCACATTGTGTTACGAGCTAGTTTCTTGCATTTGTGTTGATCCTGCCATCTGCCAGCTTCTTGTGCCCTCCATTTCTTCCTTGGAAAAAGGAGAGAAATGTGTTTCTCTGTTTCCAAGCCATTCATATATATATGGATCTATATCATATCCTCGCTCCAAGCGCTGGGAGATTCCCAACCTCTGGMGATTCCCTGTACGGAAGTTCTTCCAT